GGTGAAGCAATGTTGTTGGCTAAAGCAACAGCTTTAAGCGACTGAAGAGATCTATGAAAATAATTTAGCAAACTTGGCAAAATTCGTGAAAATCTGAGACATTTGATACAAAATCTCAACCCGACCTCAAGAAGTAATAGATATATATTTTTGTTATAATCAGAATTTCTCGAAAAGTGAATAGTATAAAACGAAAACGAAATTCGAAAGTTTCGAGATCGTTTTTAACGAAATATTAGCTAATATATCCACACGTGGCTTGCATCTTCGTTTGCTCAAATAAGGCATTACTTTCTAAAAGTGAAGATAACGCAAACGTATAGCCCATTTCCACCAAAGGCTTAGTTGCAGTTAAGAGCACAGATAAATGCTAAGTAATCGGCAAGGTTTATTTCTTAATTTTTGCTTTTTTTCCTTTCGTTTGCTTGTACCTAGTAGGTGGAATTACCACCATCCAGTTGCAATCTCTTTTTTCCAGTAGGCATAAATTGCAGTTAAGGCTTGGTGGAAATTAACTATTAGTCCGCCTGGGGACTCTCGATACCTGCAAGCGTGGCATCAATACTTAGAAAAAGTCTCCTGCTTCTGATCCAGTTTTAGGCTTCAGTTTTGGAGCAATCACAATGTATAAGACTTATGATTTAGGATTTATGAACATACAGTTAAAGCTGTCAACGTCTTTATCGATATTTGCATAATAGATTTATTGATATTTACCTATTTTTAAATAAGCTCATATACAAAACTAATCACTGCCAAATCGCGTTCGGTAAATAATGCCATTAGAACTTTTTATAACTTTGAAGACCTTTAAAGGATTCAGTTTGTCGATAAGTTCCGATACTTTGATACATATCGATAATGCGATGAATTTCAAAAGCACTAAAATCCGATAAGTCAACAAAATTCGATAAATCGACTATCGAGGGCTCAATAAGTTTCGATAACTCAAAAATGTATTTATCTCGAAATAAATCGATAACCCGATAAACTTTGGACATCTCGATAAATTTTGAAAACTCGTTTAATTTTGATAGCTCCATTTTTCGAAAGCTATCAACAAATTTCGATATGTCGTTACACTATGGTAACACGATAAAATTCGATAAGCTGTGATAACTCGACAAACTTATATAACCTTGAAATTTCAATAACTCGATATATTTTGAAAATTCCAAAAGATTCGATTCGATAATACTGTGGAACAAATTCAGGTTAGCAAAAGCTAGGCCGATTCTGAGAGTGAGGGGTGAAAATAGAGGCCGTATCGCGGCGTTTGTTTATGTTAGTTCGATTTTTTTTTGAATCGACCTTCGAACTTTGCAGTCAAATGCTATGTTATATGGTTTTTTGGCTATAACTCGCCGACTAATTGATATTTTTTCAATCGGTTAAAGCCAAATTATTGCTAGAGACCTGTGCAACAATTAAAATTAAAAAAAAAA